CCAGTTCCAGTTCCAGTTCCAGTTCCAAGTACTTGACTAACTTACGAGCTGCGCAGCTTGATCTGTCTGCGTCCGTCTGATGGACGCACTTAAATGCGCTGCAAATTTATGTTGACATTCAGTTGACACACACACACACACATACACACACACAGTCGCAGTTGTCTCTGCTGCTCCGTCCCACCTTTTGCCATTTGTTTATGACTAGCTGCCTAATTATTTTATATGGCTGCCGCATATTCACACATGCCGCCAATGGTTGCGGCGCTCTTGTGGCATCGTTGGCGTTGGGTGCGCCAACAACAACAACAACAGCAGCAGCAGCAGCAGCAGCTATAGTTGCTGCCAAAAAATGGCAATATTCGCGGCGCCGTTTGCTGTCGATATGAAAATTTGTTTGCCATAAATATTGTTTTTCACGCGCCGCGCAGTAGCTGCAGCAGCATGCAGATGCAACAGCAACAGCAACAGCAACAGCAGCAGCAGCAGCTGGCAACGCCAACGCTGCCGCCTCCTCCTAGTCATTGGCTCTGTGATCTGCAGTTCGGTGGATCAGCATTTTGGCCACATTGTTGTCAAACGTCAGCGCCCAAAAGAAAACCTGAAGCGCAATAAAAAAAATATAAAAAAATTCGCATCCAGCAATTGGCAACTGGCAATTGGCAGCTCGTATAAATATTTGCGCTCTGCTGCATAATATTCAATTTTTTTTCTCTTTTTTTTTTTGGCATTTTCCGTTTTCCATTTGATTTTTGTTTTTCCTTCCTCTTATTCGCTGCATAATTTATTTAACGCTTTTCGCAATTTATTGCGCATATTTTTATGGGCTTTAATGAAGTTGACTTTTATTTTGCATATTTTGACCAATTATTAGCGGGAAGATTAAGTATCCGGATTTCTTGCGTGATTTATAACTCAATTAACCCATCAAAAAAGCAACAATGTTGCATTACAATCAAAGATTTAGCTAGGTAGGTGGATAGCTGGATAAATGTAGATAAATAATGGATATATGGATAAGTAAATCAGATATATAGATAAGAGATCGATACATATACAGATGGATAGATATATATATGTATGTATATATGGAGAAATATAGATATACATAAATACATAGATATAAATAGATATAGATAGATGCATAGATAATTTATCAGGTTCATTTACAGTAGTTTAGGTCCTATACAAATTTAGCAGATCTCTTTGAATATACATTTAAAATATCTCAGATACAGTAAAACCTTTTCAGATAACGCCAAAGCTACATTTCATAAATATTACAATCAATGTGTGCTTCTCATATATCAATAAAGTTCATTAAATATATCTTATATTGCCAAAGCGACATTTCAGAGAGATCTGCAATGGCAAACCTTCTCAGCAGCTGCTTAAGATACAATTTTCGATTGTTTAGATACAAAGTTTAAGATGCAATTTTTCAAGCTTTTATCATTTTACGCCTTCTCAGTTTTCATTTTCGTTTGGCATGTGAAGTGTTGGCAGACAGGAGCCGTTGCAAGCGATCTTAATCAGCGCCTTTTGGCAGCGGCGGTGGCAGCATGTGGCATGCCACACAGCACAGTCTCTGGTGTTTGAAGTATGTGCTTCCGCAGCAGCGGCTGGCTTTCGATCAAATGTCTGAGTTGCCGTTGCCAATGCAACAATTGTTGCTGCCGCACCTAGCTATTGTTGCTGTTGTTGTTCCACTGGAAGCTGGAAGCTGAAAGCTGGAAGACTGAGGGCCACTGCTGCGGCTGTCATTAGGCAAACATGTGCGGCTGTGCCGGCTGCAGTTGCCACAAAAGAAGGTGACGCAGCTGAAATCAATGCGCTGACCAATTGCCACACATGGCACACATAGAGCAGTGGCAAGCGGTGCCCATTTGGTGCATGCGACATATGTACATACGTGGGGCATGAGGCATGCTGAGCGCGACAGCTGCTGGTCCAAAAGCTTCCGCCAGCTGATGTTGCCGCTTCCGATGCAGAAACTACGCATAACCGATAGATACACATGTCCAATATATGTGCAACATGTGCACTTGCACCTGACTCAAAATGCCGCCCCATCACCGCTGCCTGGTGGTTTCACCTGGTGTTGGCCAACCGGCCCCACCTCCGCCGCCCCCTTTACGGCTACGCTTCGGTTTCGATTTCCTAACACAACCAAGAAAGTCAAAAGCTGAAAACTCAACTCGCTGCCGCTGCCGCTGCTGCTGCGGCTGCTTCAATTACACAAAGTCATGCAGAGTTCCAGCTGGAACCAGCCCCCCCCTCCACTTGCCCGCCCCCTCAACTCATTCCACTGCGCTGCAGCTGAAAACCCACGAAAGTTGCCGAGCCGTGTCCGCGTTGCTATTGCTGTTGTTGTTGTTGTTGTTGTGGCTGGCGTTGGTGTCTGACTTTGTTTTAGTTTTTTGCTGCTTAGCAAAACAGGTGCGTTTGCGTTTTGCAGGTGTTTCCCAAAAGCCACCACCAGCAGCAATAGCAACAACAACAGCAGCAGCAGCAGCGACTGCCAACTTGGACTCGGCTCGACTTCGACTTCGACTTCGCCTTCAGCTTCTGCCCGAACCCCTTCCACTATGTCTATGTCTATGTCTCTCTCTCTATCTCTCTTCCTCTCTATGTGTGTGTGTGTGTGTGCTTTGCTGTCTCGCGCTGTTTAGTAGTTACGCTTTACCGCTAGTTGCACAAATTGCCGCCCGCCTTGCTGCTCAGCTCAGCTCAGATCGGCTCGGCACCCAGCAACTGGCGCCAGTTGCTCATGCGCTTTGTGTTTCGTGTGAAAATCACAATTAAATGCAATTTTTATGCGCACCTACAAAGACGTCGTTGCTGGCAATCGCTTCGGCTGCCGTCGCCGCCGCCTTCGGCTCAGCTTTCCCATTTTGCTAGCTGAGCGCAGCAGCTTCGGCTCTTCGACTCTTCGGCCTCGGCTTCGGCTTCGGCAATGCTGAGCTGAGAGTCATTCGGCTCGGCTCAGCTGTCAGCTGCGCTGTTCGAAATGTCAGCTTGACAATTATTATGTCAAAAATTGTTTTTGTTTCTGTTTGCCTTTTTTCTTCGTTTTTCGCCGGCTGCGCAGCCGCAGCTGTTGACTGTTACACGAGTTTTTATGGTAATTCAAGTTTCACTGATTTCACGTTCCATGTCGCACCCAAAAAACAAAAAGCACAGAAAGGCAAAAACATATTAAGCCACAGCGGCAAATGGGTGAAAATCGAGCTAGGCGCGCTAATTGCCAAACGTCGCAGCAAGCGCTAGAGTTGCTGCTGTAATCGTTGCTTGAGCCGCAGCGTTCCAGAGACATGTCCATTGGAAGCCATTGGAAGCTGTTGCGGGCTCGAGCGCGAGCTTCGTGTTGGCATTGCAGAATGCACAAAAAAACAATTAGCGCATACCAGAGAGAACGCACCGCAATGTGGGGGAAACAATTGCAGCCACAATGCATGTGAAACAAAGGCGCTGAGATACCCTGTAATATTTTGAAGGGGTATGTTGGGGCATATACATATGTATATAAGTTAATTATAATATAAATATAGTTAATATATGGATGAATTAAAATTTAAAGCCTTTCATAACCCTGATCAAAGTAATTATACTTATCACTATTATTTACTCTGCAAATTTAAACCTAGCCTAAACCTAAGCCTTACTTGCACAAACATATTTAAACCTCTTTCCAGCTACTTCTAGAAATAGCCTATCGCTCTAGCGCACACAAATGTAAAGTACAGGGTAACGCTTAGTCATGCATTGACAGTTCACTGCATTTGATTTGGTTTGCGGGCAGCCAAACTGACATTTGAATGGGGCGACTGGCACCGAGTGGCCCCACTCTCAGTCTCCAGTTTCCAGTCTCAGCCTCAGTCGCAGCCCCCAAGGCAATTGGTCAATTGCTTTGTAAGCTGCAATCATTAACGCTAATAGGCGACGGCGACGCAGACGCAGCTGCTGACGCTGGCAGCGACGTCAGCAGCTGTGCTGCAGCTGCACTCTTCTTGCTCAGCCTCCGTCTCTGGCTCAGCTGTGGGTAAAAACCCAAAATTCGAAAAATTTCTCGAAAGAGAATTTCTTTATATATAGATCATTTTTGCACACGTGCAACTGCAGTTGGGCGTCTACCTGAGGCTGTGGCTGGGAAACCCTTAATGGGCAGCGGCAGCGGAGACAATGACAATGCGTGAGAAAACTCGTTCGAGCGCATTATCCATGTGCATGTGTGTGTGTTTGCTAGAGTGCTACCCTAACGGTAGTTGTTACGTTGCACTTGTTTACATGGGAAATGGTTTTTCACATCGTTAAGCCAACAGTCGTTTGTTTTCCACATAATTTCGCCGCCCAGGTAGCCAATAATTGAAAGTTTTCCGAGAAAAATCCGTAACAAAACTAAAATCAAACAAATTTCACTTTGAATAGTATTTTTAAGTAATTTATTTTGTAATATCTATAATTAATTTTTTTTTTTTTCTTCTTTTTCTTGCATCATGTTACATCATGTTTGGAAAAATGTGGTATGCCCGATTTGAAAATATAAAAATCAAATAAAAATTAATTCATTTTGTTTTTCTTTTTTTTATAATTATTTTCGAAAAAATATATATTTTAAAACGCATAATTATGCTAAATAAAAAACACTTTGTACAAAGTATGCTACAGATCACAGAACATAAATATATTTATATATTCATTAATATTATTATTATTATTATTCAAGAGTTAAAGAGGAGGAAAACTTTTTGCTGTCGCTTAAACTAAATGATAAGAAAATTGTTCCTTGAGGTTTTTTCCATGTGTGTGTGCGTGAGTGTGTGTGTTTATAAATAAATGAAATAATAATAGGATCAAAATTTCTAGTTTGCTTTTGTTATGTATTTAAAATTAATAGGAAAATATTTAATTGAGAAAATGAGAATGAAAATTTTTGTTTTATTTTTAGTTTTTCTTTTTATTGCTGTTCTGTTTTTTTTTTTGTTTTTTGTTTTATTTTATTTTTTTGCTTCGCATCTTATTATTCGTAAAATTATTAACATGATTTTTTCTTTCAATTAAACCAAAAACTAAATATATAGAAAACAAAAATTATTCAGTTTTTCATTTCATTTTATCAAAGGAAAAATTAAATTGTTTAAAGCTTTGCCAAGTTTTTCTTATCTGCTTCTTCATTCTTCTGCTACATCTGCATCTTCTAATTCTTAACTGCTGCTAATAGTTAAATGTTAAACGTTAAATGTTAATAATAATAATGTATTAGTGCTTACATTTTGTTTTTAATGCTATTTAGGTTTTGTTTTGTTTTTATAGCTAAACTCTTTCAATGTATTGGTGTGAAATGCTTTTACAGCCACACGCCCTGTGTCTGTGTGGGGATGAGGGTGTGTGGCTGCAGTGTCTATGTATTTGTAGATATCATTAATTCATTTTCATTGATGTTATTGTTTGTATGTTGTTGTTGTTTGTGGAGATCTTCACACGAGTTGGTTTTTGAGTGGAGTTGAGTTTTGAGTGGAGTTGACTGTACTACACTGCGACTAACATTAATTAATATGATTTCTATAGCTTTAAAGATTTAGTATTAGTTGTAGGTGTTGATACTGCTGCCGCGGCCTCTGCTGCTGTCAGCTGCTTTACGATAGCCTGCTGTCCTTTTCGCCGCTGAATTGCTGCAATGAGAGTAAGCGAGAGAGCGAGAAATTAGTCAAAATTGAAAAATATAAGTGTTCTGTATAAGTGTATGTGTGTGATGCTTAATTTTGAGGGGAAATCAACGTATAAGTGTGAGCAGTAGAGGCAGACGCAAGCGAAGTCTTAGTGTATAAGTGTATGCATGTGTGCTTAAGGCGAAGTCTCAAGTATAAGAACTGCGTATTAGTATATGCATATGAGGCTTGAGGCGAAAGCCTTAGTATAAGTGTATGCCTGACTTGCACAACAAATCACGAATTATCAATTAATTTGCCGTTGTTTTCGTTCTTTATTTTACAGCTCTTCTTCTTGCTTTCTTACTTGTCTCGTTTGTTTACGAAGCGCTCGAGCTTCGTGTGCAATTTTTTGTTGTTTTTTATTATTTATTTTTATTTTGTTGCTCGGTCAGAGAGACGTATCAGGAGAAGGGCCAAAGAAGAGGCGCCAACTGAGCGCCAGCGCAAAACTAAGAAAATCAAATGAGCTTGTACGAGAAGTTGTTGTTGTTGCGTCTTCTAATGTCGTTGCCTGTTATGTTGACTGACCGCAGTGCTTTGTCGGCTACTAGAAGGAGAGGGACAGACGCAGAGAAGGAGGTAGGGCAGCGTCAGGGGTGCGCACAATGTAGAAAGCGACCGACTGGCGACTGGCGCACAGCTGCGCGGCGCGAAAAAGTACAAAAAAAGAACAGCAACAGCAAAGCAACACAGCAATAGCAGCAGCAACAACAACTACGTAACGAGAACATTTTGAACACGTGCATTTCTTCTTACGTCTTATACATACATATGTATGCGCATATGAATGTACACACACATGCGTGTGTGTGTTTTTTCTTTTTTTTCGCTGCTGCTGCTGTGCCTTTACGAAGGAATTTGTTGTTTTGCAGCCAGCAGAGTGACACATCATAACAGACCCACACACATATGTAGCAGTAGTCGTGGAGAGGGTGGAGAGTAGAAGGGCGGAGAGTCTAAGGCGTGGGTAGCATGTCTCAATCTCAGTGCAGATGTTTTGCTTGCTTGCTTGCTTGTTTTTTTTTTTTTTTCATTTGCCAGAGCAACACAGCCGTTCAAAAAGCCTGAATGACCGACTAATTGTGCTGTGGGGTTTTTTACTTAAATACTTTTCTACACGAACAAAAAGATGCAAATGCATAATTAATCAACTGCACAAAAACAAATGCCACCAAAGAAGTGTGAAAAAGAGGGAGAGAGCGGGTAAAGATGGGAAGTTTTATTGGAATTGTTTAAGCACGAATTGTGAAGAAATACATACATACATACATACAAATACATCAGATTCATAACCTGTTGTACAATTTTTGTATTATTTTTTAATACTTTTTGTTTTTGCCAACATCATTTATAATCAACGCTGCAGCGGGCGGGCAATGGGAAATGCCAAAAACTGCGCTAATGAAGTAAGCAACAAAGTAACAGCAGCAACAAGAAGAAGTAGAAGAAGGCGCAAACAGGCACACAGCACAAATAACTGAAACGGAGGCTGACGGATGATTCTCCAATTCTCCAAATGTCGAAGTCAAGCTTAAAGCTGCGTTAGCCTCTGTGCGTGTGACTGTATATAATAAGTATGTATGCATATGTGTGTGAGAGTGTTTAGTTGCTTACAAACGCACACATATGAAATAAATTTAAGTATCTGCAGGTGTTCATTTAAAACATCACAGACAGCAACAAAATGGAAGAAGAGAGGAAGACAAAAAAAGGCCGCGAGAAAAAAAACTCAAAATTAACAGCTACGTCGCGGTCGCAGCTACAACAAAAGAAAGAAAGAAACAGCGACAGCGAAAAATATGTGAAATGTCTACAAAAACAAAATGAAATTGTGCGAGATTTATTATTGTAGTAGTAGCTGTTGTTGCTGCTGTTGCAGCGAAAAGAAAGCAAGGCGAAAGAATGTAAATTTCGCACACTCACTCAAACTCATGCAAATAAAATGAATTATATTTTTAAGGCGAGAAATGTAAATGCCGACAAACGAACGAACGGACAAACAGACGTGCGGCTGAAACGTCCTTACGCTGCTTAGCAGCAAATGAGGTCACAAAAACAACAATGCAAAAAAGTCGCGCTATCGCCGTTTGCTTAATTCGCTTGCATGTGTAAATTTTGTTCGATGTTTTCATTTTTTCTCTTTATTTTTATTTTTTGGGACGACGTCAAAGCTGCGACGTTTCATTTGCAATGCAAATTCAAAGCAGAAACAGAAAACCCAATGTGGGTGGGTGGGGACGCAGGCGCCTGACTTACCGTCGCTAAACTGTTGGGCAGCGGCTGCTGCTGCTGTTGGGGCGCCGGTGCTGCCGATGTAGCGGACGCCAGCGTTGTTGCTGTGGCTGCGGCTGTTGGCAGAATTGTGTTGGGACTCTGACGATCGGCGAGCGGCAGGCGGGCGGCAGCGGGACTAGAGATTTTGGCTAGCTGCTCCTGCTCGGCGGCCAGGCGCTGGGCCAATACATCATCGGCTGCGTCGAGATCCATCTCATCGCTCTCATCCTCATCTTCTGAGCCGCCGGCAGCTGCTGCTGCGGCGACGCCACTCAGAGCGGCAGCTGCATCGAAATTATTGATCTCTGGATGGGTTTCCAGCTCCGTTTGCAGATCGCAGATGTAGTCGATGACGTGCTGGATGATTTCCAGTTTGGAGAGTTTGCGGTTCTTCGGCATGAACGGCACCAGGTCTTTCAGCTTCGAGAGATACATCTTCATTTCGGCATTCTCGCCGTCGCCGCGATGCGGTGGATGGCGGGCGATGCGGCCATTAGGATTCATTGCCGGCATCGAGGCACCTGTTTGGCAAACGGCCGTCAAGGACTTCATTTTTGAGATGATCGCTTTACGCTCCTTGAGTAGAATTTTGGCGGCTTTTTACACGGCTTTTACCGGTTACTTGCGAGGTTTCAATAAATCGAAGTTAACTTCTTTCAAAATTCAACTTTGAGGTGTTTTGGTTTCGCTGCGAGTTTTGTTTGACTTTGATTTTTTTTTTAATTTAAATTTTTGTTACTCCACTTTACACGCACTTTTGGCCCTGTTGTTGCATTTGCATTTGAATTTGACTTTGATCAACAAAACTAAACACTTTAATCCAGCGTGTTTTTCTATTGCATTTGTTGTCGAGTGTTGCTCAATGTTGCGTTTGCTTTGGGTTAAATTTTTGATTTCTTTATTCTTTTTTCTTGCGCGAAGAAGCAACAACCTTTAACGAACACGATAAATTTCTATTTGGATGTGAGAGCGAGCCGAGCGCCGCTTTTATACCCGTGCATGAGCCGAACGCCGAGTGCTTCGTGTGTAACAGATACGAAGACGACGGTCGCTCTCGTGTTAGCGCTCTCACTCTCCGCTCTCTCTGACAAAACAAAATCAACCAACCACCAACAGAGCCACCAGAAAACTCGTTCCACGCATCAAAGAGGGGAAACGCATCGTAATTTATTTACCTTAAAATATAGTTCATATTTATTAAATAAATACATATATATTTTTTTCTTATTATATACAATATACAAAGTTTTTAACATTTATAAATAAATTATTTTTTATAATAAACTTTGCAATCAGCCCTCTCGAAGAGTAAAAATACGAACGGGCACACGAACGCGAACAAAATGGCTCCGCCTATCGCAGAGCGGGAGAGTGAGAGAGCACCAGAGCTGCGTTGGAAAATTTCTGTGGATATAAAAGGGGCAATAGTGTGTAGAGCCTGACCAAAGGATCTCAAACAGTTGGAGAGTAATTCCGTGTCGAATTGAAACCAATCTCAGTTGCCGCTCTCGTATTGGCGGGGTAATTCTGAGGTGAGAAGTGTAGAGCAGCAGCAACTGGATATTGTATGTAGAGTGGCATTTGTGGATTATTAAAGCTAAAAGGGGCAATGCGCTACCTTGTGGATGATATTGAATTGTGATGAATAAATTAATGTTGAATGCTAAATGTGTGTCCTGAAAATTATTTAATATTAATTATAATATAATTCAAGTATATTTAAAGTACTTAATACAAAGTGGAGTGGAAAATCTTCTCGGGTTTACTTGTTTTGTAGAGTGAACCGGCACTCACTTCCCCAGCTTCCACAAAATCTCAGCTTTAAATTTAAGCTGCCAGCTCTCAACCCTGTGTAGAGTCCATTTGGCTTCCACTCAAATGCCACAACTCTCAACATTGTGGAATTTGTGGATGCTACAACTTCTGTAGAATTTCCCCAGCTTCCACAACTGTGCTGCGATTGGTCGGTTGCATTGCATGCACTCTCTGGATCTACATTTCACTCAGCAACTCTCGCAATCATACTCTCCCTCTCTGCACATACGATGTGATTTTGTGAATGAAAAAGATTCAAAGTATGAGAAGTTATATTCTTTCTTTCTTCGTGGCTTATCTTAATTTGGGTTTATGGTATCAGCGACCCGATGCATTCATCTCTCTGTGTATGTGTGTATGAGTTGCCCCGTCGCTCTTGACTCCGCTCCCACATAGTAGAACAACTTGTAGGGTTTCTGCTGGGCATGAAATCACGATCATATTACACGAGACCACGAACCACAACGACAATGACGACGACGACGAAGGCGACAACGACGCCAGTCGAGTGTTTGATTTGTGTTTGTGTTTGACTGTGGATGTTGATGTGGATTTGAGACTGCCGCCCATTGAGGAAATGTGAGGGAAATGCTCATTGAAAGTGAGGCCTGTTTGTGAAAAATGACACGTCTGGCAATAGTCTGCGTTCCACTGCAGTGGAGCATTTCAAGTGCTAATTGAAGCGCAGCATTCATTCACTAAGACAAGAGTGAGCGAGAGACACATTACTCTCCAAAAATTATATTCATTGACTCAAATTAGCGCCAATCAGAGAAAGAGCGCGAGGGGAGTCTGGAAGGAAACTGTAATCTTCGCTGTGGAATTTCGCGCGAATTTCCAAGTAAGGCAGCGAAGGTGTTGCATGAAATACACAAGAAACCGTGTCGAAAAACTAAACTGCAAATAATTAAAAAAAAAAGAAAAGAAAAACATAAAAAATGCTAGCAAAAAATAGCATAACCAAGCCAACAAACAGTTCAAATTTCCAGCAAAAATACCGATCATAATTTTATGACTTCGCCAAGAGTTTTTTGCCACTGCCTCTACTTCTGCCAGGCAGGCAGGACTTGCTTTACGACTCTTTAGTGTTTCGCATGAATGACAAATGAGCAGCGACGAAGACGACGACGACGACGCAAGCAGATGCAACAGGTTAAGCGCAGAGTGGAAGCAGACTGGAAGTGGCAACGGGCAGGGGACAATCGGGGGAATAGAACTTGCGATGCAAAGCGTTGCGATCACATGTCAATCAGTGGACCTAGAGCTGAAGCCAAAGCTCTAGCTGTAGCTGAAGCTGGGAGTCTGGCTAGGCGGAACGGGGGCAGGAGGCACCTTGCTAGATGGCGTTGCAGATATGCATGCCGCATGCCGCGTGCATAGCATGTCGAAATCCAATACGCGTCACTCAACCAGTGTCCGCGTCTAGGCCATTAAAAAGAAAACCTGAAGGGTGACAACCCCACCTCTCCTCCGCTTACATTCCGTCCCTTTCTAGCTTGCTGACATGCTGCATACGCGAATCTCATTAATGAATTCGGCGCGACAATTTCTGCGCTAGCCGTTTGTTACATTTCATTTTTGTTTCATTCTTTGACTTATTTTTAGCTTCACACATATGTATGACTATCTGAGTGTGTGTGTGTGTGTGTGTGTGCTGGTGTTGGTGCACCTCTCTCCTTTCCCAACTGGCATTCAGCATATCATTTGGCGACTTTTCGCTGTAGCCTTGTCGCTCGCATCCGGCCTTTGGTTGTTATGGTAACTGAATACTAATTCAATCAGTCAAAGCGCTTCCAATAAGCGGCACTCGTAGAGCTTTTGTTTATTTTGTCTGTTTGCGCAAAAAAAAACAGAGAAAAAAATCAACAACAATCAGCAGCAATGCGTGGGAATGAGAACTTCAACTGTAATGGCCTTTTGCTTTGTTTACGCAAATGCGTGAGCTTGACAGCGGGACGGAGTGAATGAGAGAGGGAACGCTGTGTAGAGTTGGCTTCACTTGTGCTAATGTGCGCATTGGTATGCGTTGGAGCATCTGCTGAGTAAGTCGCTCATTGAAAAGCTTCCATGTTGGAAAGCAATTGTTTGATTGTATTTTTTTTCGTCTTTCCAATCGTAAGTTGATCAGTTATTCAATCAAGGACAGATGACGAAGTGTTGCGGCATTGTAATCGAATTGTAATTGTAAGAAAGCAGAGCTGGAAACGTTACGTCAATATGGTAATTAAATTAAAAATGTTAACAGGCTCAAGACCAGAAGCAAACAAACTGAACTGATTATTGTTATTAATGAGTTAACCACTAAATGGCTGCTAATTTACCTAAATGTAAATACGCATTAGTCAGGCGTCTACATGCCTATAACAAACTCCATTTATCCTAGAAGCCACAGAAACAACAACAAGAACAACAGCAGCAACATAATGGAAAGGGAAATGCAGCCGCACTTGGAACAAATGAGACTGGAAGCCAAATAAAAGTCGACACATTGTGAAACGGAGCTCACTCCAAATGTTTGAAAGAGCGAGGATCAGGCGAGCAGTTGTCTCTGTGTGTGTGTGTCTGTGTGTGTGAGTGTGTGACAAATGTCAATGGCATTGCAGAAGGCAGAAGGCAAATGAATTGCTGTCAAAATAACCCCTGCCTATTATAAAAAGGACGGCGACAAAAGGCGCACAAAGGACGCGTCGCGCTATTTGTAAAGCTGCCAAAGGATATCGATGAAAATGTGCAGCCGTCACACAGAAACACACACACACACACAGAGAGAGACAGAGAGAGAGCGCGCGAGTGTGTGGCAACCAGGTGAACAGATCAGATGCGATTAGGGATTATTATGCTATTACGCAGGATACGATTAACAATGCCAGCAAGGATAACAACTGCGCCGCACGCCGCGGCATATGCTACAACATTTTGTTTCTCGCCAGTCGGCCAGAGGGCTGCAGGGGCTGAGGGGCTGGTAGCAGGGAAATATATTTAGGCAAATGTGCGCAGCCGCCTCGATTCTCACTATTTTTGCTACCCTAATTGAGTGGGAAAACGCAGCAACGAGAGAGAGAGGGGGGGTCCTGCAAGCGTCCTGCGGACGTTCTGCGTCCTGTATTGCATCTGCACCATTTATGTTATTTTTTTTTCTTTCGTTGGCCGGCTGCCGTTATTTGTATTGCATTTTTACCGTTGCGCTGCAGCCGCTGCGTATCGAGTGGCGGCCAATGACTGCGAGCAGCGGACCAACGGGCCACCGGGCTTTTAATACCCTGTTAACTAGTGCATGTGTGCACATAATTGGGGTAGTTTACTTTGGCAGTGTGTTTGCCGTGTTCGAATGGCAATCAAATTTGTGATAATTGATGAATGTGTGAGCTCTCACAATTTAAATACCCTGTAAACAAGAGACAAGTTCTATTACACCTCATTTGCATACCTCACATGTTTATACAGGGTATCTTCAAGCACATCATTTGCGTACACCTCAGCGTGTTGTTTATAGGTGAGCTGCTGGCGTGTTAATAGGGAGCAGCTGGGCGTTGGATGAATATCCTGTCAACATGGACGGACTAATATCTATGTGGCATGTGGCATGTGGTTCGTCCTTGCATTATGCAGCGCCGCCGGCTGTGCCAGACGCTGTCTAGACATGGCTAACGAGCTGGCTGAGAGAGGTAGACCTAGCCGAGTTCTAGATGCTGCGCAGATTTAGCTAAGCAAAAAGAGGAGAGAAGAGAAGCGAAGAATAATAACTGAGTCATTTGGCTGTTGCGACTTCATTAGCCGCCGTCGCGACAACTCAACAGGTAGCGAGCAGGTCGATTGGGCGCAAATATTATTGCCACAAGCCACTTGGCCAAAGCCAATCACAACATCAACAACAACAACAACAGCAACTGAAGAGATTTTCGCACAAAAAGGCCACAGCAGGTGGTCCTTAGACGAAGGATTCGCTCCTGTGAGCTCGTCAATTTGTCGCCAGTTGCTAATTGCCAGCTACCCAAAATAGAAGTAGGCAAACCTCTCGATCAGCTTATATGTATGTATATCTGTCTATATCTTTATGATGGATGATGTTTGCTTAGTGGATGCACCTTTCAGCTCAGCTAAGCCGACATTTGATCTGCGAAGGCGATTCGCTTGCACTTTTGCTT